AAAATGCTGTAAAACAATTCTGGTAGGTATATTGTAATCTTTTATATATATATATATCATTGATTTTTGATAAATAATTGCATTTCTTCATTTTTCCTGATGTTCAAGTCCTTTCCTTCGTTCTAATTCACACAAAAGGAACCTTAATTTTCAAATGCTGAATAAAAGTTAACAATTTCTAACTAACCTATTGCGTGCAATTGTTAATTCAATGGGAAATTCATAAACTAAGCTGGTTTGCTAAGTTGAAGCACATAACAATTTTATTTATTACATTCAGTAATTATAAACTACCGTCTAAATTGTTATGTAACAAGAAACACTAATTATTCTTCTATTAAAGTACGTGAAAATAGAAAAAGAAACATTAATAAATTAATAAATGAATAAATTAAGCTGCTTTAGTGCACTCTGTACGCTATTTTCTTGCAATTTTCGAAGTTTTCCAGACTCTCGGGATTTATACGAAGTTAGAGTATTCTGGCACGTTTGAGAAGTAATTTGATTATACTACTTACTGGTTCCGAAAAAATTTCAGAGAAATGGTTGATGTGCACTACTTGCTGATTCTGAAAAAATTTGAGCATCCGAGAACGGTGGACTTCTAATTAGTAGTTTGAGTCTATAATTTCTCAGTCGTTCGAAAAATTTCAACGTCCGAGATAAGGTTGACTTCACTACTTAGCTTCGAGACATTCTGCAAAATTTTCAGGGCCGAAGTTAATTAGCGAGGTCAACCATATCCCAGATGTCGAAATTTTTTAAACGTCTGAAATATTATCGATTCGCACTACTGATTAGCTTCGGAAAATTTGGTGGAATCGGAGCGAGTAGTGCAAGTCAGCCATTTCTCAGGCGTTCGAAATTTCTCGGTATCAGTAAAGTTATTATATTTTCACGCGAGTTTCTAAGCTTTGTCACTCGAATTTCGCGATTATTACGATCTTTTCGATTTTTACTCGTTCCTAACGCTATCCAGATTCATGTAGTTCGTTCAGTTTTATAACGGAATATTATTATATTTTATGAATGAATGTTTCGCAAAAGGAAATGGATTTGGTGTGTAAGGGAGAAACAAATGGACTGTAAAATGCTGTAAAACAATACTGGTATATTGTAACCATTTGTGAAATACATTTTGTACAGTTATCTTACAATAAATAATTGATTCTTTTTTTTTTTTTTTTATAAAAATTGCATTCTCGCGATCTTCTTTTCTGTTGTAAAATTACAATACAGAACTTGGGCGGCCAATTTGACTCTGATTCAACTTTATTCCTCGTTTAATTGAATTTTTTCTCTTTTCTTCCCATTTCTCCGCCCTCTGTGTTATTTCATATACAAACAGATCCGTACCCATGAAAAAGATAAATAAATAAATAAAAAGTGTGAGAGGTAGAAGAGTTAAAACAGCATAATTTTATAATTACCATAATACGTGTTCCATTTATTAAATTGGAGATATAATACACAAGCGATAGATAACACGTATGTATAATTTATACAATACTTTATACAGATTGTCTCTACCTCGTTTCGCTTAGCAATTTATCTAAATACTGTACATAGTAACACGTTCAATGCTCGAGTATTACGCTAGCATACTCGTCGCGTTAATGTTCCGTTTTGCGAAACTCGTAAACCAGCCACATCTTTCTCCAATTAAAATCGACCGAACCCGACAGCGATACAGATATCGATATAGAGGCAAACATGAGGAAAGGTGTATTAATGTCGGGTGTCAGGAGGGGTCTTAACGTGACTTCCGGTTCTTCGTTGGTGGTACACAGCACGCTTCCTGCGATTATACATTTTTTATACGTGTACATCTACGTTCCTATTTGCTTTTATTTTTTTTTTTTTTTTACCTTCTTCGAGTTTAACGGGGAATACCTACTCGTCGAACAATTCTGGAGAGAATGGACGAGTTTTTCGGAATTGTTTTCCTGACCATTTCGTTAAATATCGATTGTAACATTTTTGACTGAGCAAGAATCTCCTTTTCACTTGGAGTACAGAATTGTAGGATTTTTATGTTTCGTTGAATTCGGAAGCTCTAGGAGGAAAGTTTTTTTAAATTTGTAACGTGGAATTTCGTTGTATATTTGTTTCAAATTTGACACAGTGTCGTAAGGAGATTTTTTATAATTTTGTACATTTAATATTACAAATTTCGAGGTACTGTATTTTTTACTTTATCCCTTTGTGCTTTTCTTTTCCGAGGACAAATCGGAGAGATCGGAAGTGGAAAATTGGGAAATTATGCTTACTTTGAAAGTGAAACTTAATTAATGTCCGATTCAGGAAGAAAATAATTTTAAGAAAAAGATTTTTCTTTGACACTTTGTATCTTTTTTTTTACCTCAGGATGACTGGGAAAAGTATTTTTGAAAAATTGGGAAGTTATGTTTACTATAAAATAAGAAAAAACGAATTCTTCTTTTAACGGTTAGTTAGAATATTTTACATTTATAAAATGATCAAGATACGCTTCTAGACTTCATCAACTTGCTCCAGAATCGTTTTGTATGTATATCTATACGTCAGATTCTTATTAAATACGTTAAATATCACATTCACGTTTATCGTATCTACAGAATATACAAAATCCATTTCGATCCGCTTATCGTTCATTGGCATAGTTCACTGGGACGTTAATAGACAATTCATCTTTTCGATTAATCAATTTGACTCGTCTTTTCTTAAATCATCATCCTCGTTCATTTCGCGTTTGCATTTAATTTACTCGAATATTTATATATTTATATTGATAGTGGTGGTGTAATGGCATGTCTGATATTCAGCATACATTTACTATACACGTGCTGTTTAACTGAATACGAGCTTACCAGCGTTTCTTTTATTTATTATAGTTAATTACTTACAGGATTGACCGGCAGAGAGGAACAATTTCTTTTTATTCTTGAATTATTTAATTTTAAGGCAAGATTAAAAAGAAATTTAGCGCGCTTCAAAATTGCAAATATAAGATTTGCAATTTTTCAATTTATAAACTTTCAATCATTCATGTTTTCAACATAAAAGATTACCAAATTTCTTAATTATCAAATTTTTAAGAATTAGCTTTCCTAATTTTTCAATTTTACAATTTTTAATCTTAAACATTTGTTTAAATCTTTTTTCAATCTCAAAAGAAGTTCCAGAGCCATTTTTACGATTTATAGAATTGAAATTTTCAACTGTCTAAAATAGTTCGCCATTTCGATAGTTAATTATCACTGAATAAATTACTCCTTTTATAATGTACATTTGACTAGATTCACCGATCAGGATTTATCAATATTCCTGACCAATTAAACTAACTAATTACGTCAATAGTTATTTAATTAGATTCATAATTAAAATACAAAAATTGTATTTTGTACATCTGTAGAAAAGAACAATTTTCCTTGCCTTAAAATTCTCGAGGGAAGCTATTACAATTCGATTTTTATAGAATTTTTCTGCAATACCAGGATCCTGCAAATAATTTTCATACGTATAATTACTGTCACCCAGTTATAATATAATAATTTTGCGTGTAGGTTTTTCTTTCTCAACGATCGTTTCCTCGTTGTGCATTATGCGAGTATCCTTAGTACAAATATATACAAACGACGATAGATCTCTGTAAACATTAAAAACTCGTCGGAACAATTCTTTTTTCCACGAAACAAAAGTGCACTCGTCGAACTTAAAAAGCCTGATAATATAGTAATCTCGAATCTATGTATGTACTATTGTGCCACCAAAACTGATTATCTTGAAAAAAAGAAATCGATCATTCACATCGATTAGGAATAACCTAAACTTCCCTTTAAGATCCACCTTGAACTTCGTATAAAAATGAATCTCAACTAAATTTTTGTACTTTTTCTTTTAACTAATACATATCGATCTTTGGCTCCTTTAATAATTATTACGATAATATTAACAATAAATTCATAGGTTAGAAAATCGTATACATTTTTCAGAAACACACTTTCATCCACAAGTTAACACGTTTTAACGGCACAATATTATCAACCAGCTCCTCGAATATTTCTTTCCTTGTTAGACAATCAAATATTTTCAATAAACGTTTATTCAACTTGTCAGTCTTAGCAGTTTTGCAGGTGTGATTGAACGTTTAAAAGTTTCTTTTTTAATCAGTGGATAAATATAGGTATATACTTGTATTATTATGGTAATTTCAAAGGCAAATTTAATACTAGGAAGCTCAAAGGAGTGTCAGAAAGTGATCGGAAAGCTTTAACTTTCAGTTTCTCTCTCTTCAGAAAACAACTTCTGTGGGTCGCCAATAATTTATGCAAAAAAAAAATGATTGCATTTAACGGTTGTAAAGAAATGAATTATGTATCGTTTTTATTTCATTTCTTTTAATTGAAATTAAATTTTAAAATAACTTGTGTAAGTCCCCAATAATCTGTCTTTGTGTCAGAAGGTAATTGCATTTAATGATTGTAAAAAAAAAAAAAAACAAATTAAACGTGTTTATTTTTTCTTTAATTGAAATTATATTAAACTTTTAAAAAATCTGAAATTAAACCCTCGAAGAGTTTGCTTAGCTTCCTGGAGTTATAGCAACGAGTATTGTAAGTTTGCAGCATGTGGTAGGTAGTCGAGAGAAAAATAATTCGTTTTAATACATTCTCACCCTAAAATATCGAAACTTGTGCCGTAAGTATTCTGTTCGCTGTATTTTTATGAACATTCATGTGGAATATTTCAGTTGAATAATTAATTAAGAAGAGAATTTTTTCGAGAAATATATTCGAGGAATTTTTTCTAGTAAGATTCTCATTTATGAAACACCCAGCAGCAATCCGAACCACAGAAACGTCGTGAAATGAAACGAAGCACGGAAACAGGATGAAATTCTTCATTTTCTATAAATTCATTTCGCCACGTACACTTCCACTTTTTCACATGAGTCCATTCTTTAGTGAATCTAGTGTCTTTTGTTTATTCTCTCCCTCGTTCTTTCATTTTTACGCGTCTTAATGCCTATACTGTTGCTCGAGTTCTCTTCTGAGCCTTTTCGCCGCTGTTTCACTGTTCCCATCAGCCTCAGCATCGCTACAACCATCCTCGCCCTCCGCGACGACGCCCTCGACTTCTTCTTGCCGCCTCTTCGCCGTCGCCATCTCGGCCGCGTGCTTTTTCCGCCATTTTGTCCGCCTGTTCTGGAACCACACCTGTAAGCACAAGCGAATTCTTCCGTTGGAAACTCGTCTTTATCGTAAAAAAATAATTCTTCGCTTGCTTGGATAATTTATCACTATTTATCGTTTTTGGTCATTTTTCCGTTGGAAACTTGCCTTTACTGTGAAAAAGTAATTCTTTGCTCGCTCAGGTAATTTATCGTTACTTATCATTTTTGAACATTTATTGTGAAAAAAAAGAAATCTTTTTTAGTGCTACGATAATTTTCGAATATTACAATACCTAGAAACCTTCAAGTTTCGTGTAATTATTAACACTTCAACCCTGTAAATTTCCAACATATAAATCCTATCACGAAACTACAGATTATGAAAAATCATCAACCGTGCACTACCATAAACCATACAACACATAGAAGCACAGCCACCAATATTAACTTTTCGATCCTTAAATTTCCAACACGTACAAATCCTCCGAGCGAAACCACCACTACTGCCAATTCCATAAAAATCACCCCTCAACAAGCTTATCACCCAACCCACTAAAAATAAAGCTTCTCGAGAAAAGAAGAAAGAAAGAGAAGAAGGATTAACGTATCTCTCCACCTGAACGAAGAAAGAGGGTGACTTAAGGTGGTCCCGTACATCTATAAAGCTCGAAATACGCAGCAGGAGTCCGTGTCCCCACAACAATGTATTTAATTAACGTAACGGGCGTCAGGGGAGAGCGGGAGAGAGAGACTCGAGCGTAGCGATTGCACCCACAAACCACCCTCTATCCATAGAGCGGCGAGTGGCGGCCCCTCTTTTCTCGCCAATCCGCAGGCTTGTTCAATGGCCGCCAAGTCGAGAGCTTAAATTAAAGATATAAGCGGCGCGCGGTGGCGGCCGTGCAGGCGTGAGGCGGTAAACGAATTAAAAAGTAAACGGCCAGCCGTAAAAGTTAATAGCTGTTCGGATGAAAATTAAAACACTCGAGGAATTAAGATAACGGAGAGAGAAAGGAAGCCAGACAATCTGGGTGAGATTGACTGCTGCCCGCGCACCGGACCGTGCGCGTAAAACGTCAATTCCTCTCTTTAAACGATGTTCAGCTGCTGCTGCTGCTGCCGCTTCTTCTTCGTTTCTCACTTCAGACACTTTTTCTTCTCCTTCGATACGTTCCCCATTTTTTTTAACCCTTTCTTTCTAGAGGGTGGTTCGAATGGAGCAGCAGGAGAATTGAGTTTGAGGATTCTGTTGGGTTCGGTTGGAGAGGGTTCAGAAGTTAGTGCTCGAGGGAGAATTTTTATTGGGTTTGGAAGGTGAATGTTGCTTAGATGGCGGTGTACTGAATTTAGTGGATGTTTTTGTAGTAAAAGTTGTCTTCTGACGAATCAATGAAAATTATCGTACCGGTATTACGTTATAGTTGTGTGTTAATTTGTAATAGATAGCACGGTTATTCCATGTACTGGGTGCTTAAAAATTACCAATTTGTAAGAAGTAGGTATCACAAAAATGGTCTCTCGCGAAATGACTGAACATAACTTAATAGTATCATAAATCTGTAATTGATAAATAGTATAGTGTCACATGCGTAACAGACATCACTCGTGTACCGGGTAGACCTTTTAGCGCAATAAAGGAAACCGGCGAAATTTTCGTACCCCAGTGTAACCTTCCATAAAGCAATATTCTTAACCTAGGATTTCTGGACAGCCGGTCATCGCATGTGCCGGAAATTGTAAATATTGTTATTTTCTAACATCTGTTCGGGCAACTTACTTTCAGAAATGCTAGAACAATTTATAACATAAAATCCAATAAAAAAACCCCAAAACTCCTCTCTCCATCATCTTACAAACTGCACCCATAGCCAAACACCTACACCAATTAGGAAAACACACATCCTCTTACACCAATAGGAAAATAATACGAACTAACGTATTGTAAAACAGTTTCTTTCAGCGACACGAGCAAATTCATTCCAACTTCCGAACACACACTTAATAAAGTCATAGTCTTGTAATAGTAAATTTCTCCCAGTGTTTCATTTCTAAAATGTCTCCGTGCGCTACCTAAGTCCCGATCACAGGTAAATTCCTTCAATGGCTTGACCCAAAAGGCGGACAACAATTCTATTCGTAACACGTAAGGTTGCGTAATTTCTGAAGCTAAATTATAATCAGGCGTCCAACAACCGTCACATCGCGATCCGTAACAATAGTAACTCAATATACAGGGTATTTCAAAATTACCAATTTGCAAGAATTGCCACAAAAATATTGTCTTCTGCCAAATGGCTGAAGTTAACTTAATAGCCTGATAAGTCAGTAACACGTAAAGAGTATATACTGATACAATATACAGGATGTCCCAAAGTGACGAATTCGCGAAAAAAGATTGTCTCCTATCGTTTGGTTAAAAGGAATGGAAAATAAATGTTTGTGAGACGGGAAATAGAAGAGATGCGCTTTTATGTGCTTCTATGATTTCCACTATCAATTTCACAATTCAATTGGAGGAACGCAGAGCGAAATTTGTGTTTGGAGGGGGGTTCAACGACCTCCCTGGAAACCTTGACCTTTGCCCGTGGAAAGCGTTCGAGGAGACACACTAGATGGCAGAATGGTCGAGCTATCCAGAAGCGAAATTTTCATGAAAAATTTCGGTGAATTAAAGTTTCCTCTCTAGAGTGAACTTTCCCGAGACTGTCCTCGAACCTGAAAATAATCTGCTGCTTAATTTAAAAAAACACACCTCGGGGAAACTCTTTTTTAACTTTCGAGAAAGATAAAGTTTTCCTTTCTTTCCACAGAATGTACGAAATTTGTTCGATTCGCCAAAGAAAACTTTTTTCACCTGTTTCTACTCCATTTTAGTCAAAGATATTCTCAACAAGAATGAAGAAATTGCTCTTTTTGCATATCTTTTAAGACCTAACAATGTACAATGGGAACCCTTCGAAATGTTTCTCAACGGTTCACATTCCATCGAAATAAAAACCTCCATTAAACTATTTCGAAACTTGGCAGACAATTGTGTAGTTTACAGAAAACCTTCACTTTGTTCCATCTATTTTAACTCTTTGAAACCTTCACAATTTTTCCTTGACATTCGTAATTATCGTGATTTATATTTGAGAGTCAATATCAAAAAAGAAACAAAATTCCACGGACGTCAGTTACTTAAAAATTTTTTATATAGATTAATTCACAATTTAAATAATTAAAAATGTGCATTTAGGCGCCTAAGGGTTAACAGAACAGAAATTCCTTCATTCCTCGAGAAAGTAGACGACAAAAATGTACAAATAACGCTTGAAAATGGATAATTTCCAAACGACCAACGAAACACCCAATATTTACTGTGAGAATCAGCTTGAAATTGGAAATCAGAGTTATAGAGCTCCCTTATCAGTTTCTCCATTTGATAAGAATATCCGACTTAATAATTCGTCCGCGCGATTTCCGGCCGCGATATGTTGATCGGTTCATCGATCGAACGTTTTATCGTCGCCGATAAAAGCGAAGGGAGCACAATAAAAAAGATAAGCGGGAACCGGGAATGGCTAAGGATAAATTTTTATTACGAGCCCGCGAAGACAGCGACTCTCGGTCAAAAGAGAGAGAGAGAGGGGGGGAAGGGAGAAGCTGGCAGCAAACCTGAAGCCGGATTGAAAATCGTATTCCTGTCTCTCGAAACTCAACTTTCTTCTCGCGCGAGCTCTATCGTCCTGTCGCTTTCAGGGCTCTAGTTTATACAACGGGTGATCAAATTATTACGATTACTTCGAAATAATGTATCTATCATTTATTTCAAGTTTGAACAAAAATGGAAATTGAAGATACATTTGAGATCATGTCTTCAATATGTAACAAGGATTTTGAAATTTCTACACGTTATTTGAAAGGAGGATGTTTAAAAAAAAGCAAATTTTGGCATACGGCCGGAACGAAAAATTTGTTTACAGCATTATTCTATGCACCCTAAGGAACAAAAAATGTAATTGGCATTTTTCCCAGAAATGATGGGAAAGTTATGAGAAATGCGGTTCAAGATAAGAGTATGACCACACTTATAACTTATATTCCGTCTCGTTTTCTTCAGATGATGGTCTGTTCGTAAATTAACCACTTAGAAACTCATATTGAGTATTATTTGCAAAGATTGTTGTACATTAGTGTTTAATAAAAACCAAAAATAATGAAAAATAATTAATGACAAATTAATCGAAACAAGGAATTCTTTGATGACACGATGCTTATATTCGAAGCAATTAGAAACCAATAGTTATTTATTCTCGAAGTGATAAAAGTTATAATAAAAGCAAGACTCCACACATAAAAAGTAAGACTCCAACAGAATTTGCATTTCTTAACTGTGCATCCACTATGAAAGCCAGAGGAAAAAGTATATGAAAAATGACATTTTTTGTTCCTTAGGATGCATAGAATAATGCTGTAAAAAATGCCTTTTTTTAACATCCTCCTTTTCAAAATATGTACAGGTTGTTCAACGTGCCGCATGATTTTTCAACTATTTGCAACAATGTAGTAAAAGGTTGTATTAACCAAAATTTATCTGTGTTAAGTGGAGAACATGTGACGATAATAAAAATTTGGAAAATAGTTTATTTTCACAGTGAATTTAAGGTCACCTTGAGTTTTATTAAATGGAACCATATAATTTTTTCCTATAGTAAGCAATGGAAAATACATTTAGTAGAATGAAAAGATAGGTAAAAAGAAGGGAGGAAAAAAACTTATAATAGGACTTTATATTGTTATTTTTGTTCTCATTCAATTTTTTCTAATTTATTGATCTCTGTTTTAGCGTTTTCCCTTCATTTATTGCACCTAAGTTAGATTCAATGATTTTGTTTCTGTTAGTTCGTATGGCTGATGAATTGTCCTTAACCGGGAGTAAAATAAAATGGCGGGGGGGAGCCGTAAGAATTGATTTTCGGCTAATATTATGGCGGCGCACTGTTTAACCAGGAATTACCTCTAATTTAATAGACCGTAATGGGGCCAAAACGTGACGCAAGT